GCATAAGACTGACATGACACCTTCATAATCATGACATGACACATGTCATGAATATGAAGGAGGTTTTATGCATGTTTATGACAACTGTCATTAAGTGTCATTCGCTCAGTTATGTCATTTTTAATGCAAATATGACATTATTTGACCTAACCCTACCCCTAACCATAGCCCATAACAAAGACATCTCAAACAATGTCATCTTTGCATTAAAAATTACATAACTGAGCGAATGACACTTAATGACAGTTGTCATAAACATGCATAAAAAACCTTCATATTCATGATGTGTCATGTCATAATTATGTAGGTGTCATGCCATGATTATGAAGGTGTCATGTCAGTCTTATGAACACCCCTTCAAGTAAAGTGTAACCATTTATTCATATGCAAACCAAATAGTTTCTCATTCCTTCTTAATTTTTTCCCTTGGAAACTGAAAAAAAAAATCCATGGAGCTCATTGTCTTGTGCTTTAACATTTTTAGAATTCAATTAAATTTGTATGTGTGTATGTGCTCAAATACCTTTCCAACAGTCTCTGTATCTAGGATCTCCATCCCTCCAAACTGGATACATCTGTGAGTTCCATGAACGATAATGTGCAAAGCGTGTTCTGGATTCTAGTAGAATGATGAAAAGAAATAGTAAAGGTCTCCTTTGTGAAAGAGCATTAAAATAAGTTTTCAGTAATGAGTAATTCATTAATAAAGTCAATTTCTTTCTTCAAATCACACAGGTTTTCTTAAAAAACCCATCTACGGGGAAACTCTTGATTTCATGATTTTTCAGTCTCCCAACAGGCCCAGTTATTAGAAATCATTAGATGTGTAAAGTGCATATTTATCTGGATTTAATTCCCTTGCTTCAACACTATTATCAACCCTACAAACACTAAAATGATGAATATTAGAAAAATATATGACTACATGAGATGACAGATTAGATTAATGGTATAATAGATATTTAGACTCTAAATTATATAGAGTATAATATTAAATGTAGAAGGTAGTAGAAGTAAGTAATAGGGTAGTTCAGTTGCTTAAGGTTGGCTTAAGTTTATAAGTGAACAAAGAGAAAAGGTCTACAATGAAAAAAGCAAGAGAATGTGAGGGTTGGCAAATAGAGTCACACGACCTTTACAATCCCACTCAATCCTTTTCATGTGACTTTCAGCTGAGGGTACCACTGTAATCCCCACTGCTGGAATGAGTTAAGATCCCACAGAGTTCTGACATATAGTCAAACTTTCATTTATCTGAATGTTTGTCTATCTGATTGCAATTGATAAGCAATTCTATGTGGTTTATTATGTGTGTTTTAAGATGCATTACATTTACATTTTATTCATTTGGCAAATATTTTTTATCCAAAGCAATACATTTCCAGGAAATCAAAGCCGTGACCGGGTGATGCCAGCACCATTCTTTAACATTTGACATCATGCACCAACACCAACAATAAAATCAAAGACTGGCCAATTATCCTTAAATAGTTAGCCTTAAGCCTCTTTAAAGCATTAATCATACTGGTCATACAACTACTAGTTCTGATGTCAAAGTTTGCCAAGATTGCTCATTAAGGAAAAGACTACATTGGAGGGCTGCAGTATAGTTTTAAACTTGTTCAACTGCTTTTCTACATCTGTTTTCGTGTTGGACTGCCTTGTGGCTATTCATTGGAATACAATTTGTGATAAATTGAACTGTTTAAAGTATTGGTATTTAAAATAATGCAACTCTTTTTCAGCTGTGGATTTAATCCAAAGATTCTAAAAGAAGATAAATAAAGTTTTACAAATCTTGATTAATTATTTACTGTGAGGTATTTCTTTAATGTATCGATTTTATAATAATTTTTTTACAAATTTTGTACAATCAGCGATCCCTATTAATGTTTTTTCTGTATATAAAGTACAGATATACTCACGTGAAAGCGATCCTGATGAGAATGTAAGAATTAGAAAGACAAGAGCCGTCCACATCTTCAGGGTATGCATTGATGACTACAACACCACAGTCACTGATCCAGCTTTTCTTTGAGACCCATGAGGCGTCTTGCTTCAATATCAGCACCCCAAACCAAACCCCCAATGTATGACATCATTGATGTGCATAACAGGTTCCTCCCAGTCCCACACCCTGAAGTAATCTTATAGAGGGCTGTAGTTTAGGAATGTTTTACGAATAAATTGTTACAATGCATCACTTTTATGACTGTTACATGATTTAGCTTTAGCCATTTTACCAGTTTTCTTTCACAATTAATTATCATTATCTGCACTTGTGTGCTTTTGCAACAGGTTTACACAAACTCGTTCAAGCATAATCATTCACTGAATCTAGGAAAAAAATGGAACACATATACTGTTAAGTTTTAGTAACAGAAAAATACACATAATAATAAAGATGGTTAAGCTTAGGCGTACCACTTTACCAGTTCCCATTTTACCTGTTTTTCACTCTAAATGCTAACACACAGTGGTTATAATACTACACACCGCCATAGACATACCCCTGTTTAAAATCTGTATAAAAATTAATCCAAGTAAAATCAAGTCAGATATTTTTCCACCAACAAAATGCATATAACAAATAAACAGAAACGTTTAGGGGGAAAAAACTAATATTACCTGGTAACATAAGTGTGCACACCTTTTTATTATGGGGGATGATACACAAAAAAAATCAGAAAATCAGATCAGATTTTCTCAATCAGAAAAATACAAAAGCTTTCCCAAAACATTATATGTGCCACTGAATATCATGCAAGCCATCATAAACAAGGGGAGACAATGTGACACCACAATGACATTCAAAAAAGAAAGAAAAAGATAAATAGATCATCTGTCAAAAATTGATGGAAAATAATGATAATGAAAACTTATAATGAAAGTCCTCCATTAAAAAATTGAAGATGAAGAGGGTTTTCATTTTTCAGCATGATAATAATCTCAAACACAACAAAGGAATGACTTTATAAGAAGAACATTTTAGAAAAGCCCAGTCAGAGCCCGGACCCAAATCCAATAAAAAAAAAACTTTTGGATTGACTTGAAGAGGGCTATACTCAGAAGATCCCCTGACAATTTGACCAATCTGAAGCTCTGTAAAATGGAAGAGCCATAAAAACCGACAAATCAAGATGTGCTAAGGTGATAGACTCTAATGAAAAAATGCTGTCTGCTTCATTAAGCAAAAGGTGTTTCTACTAAAAAGGGGTATGCTTGTGCAACCACATTATTTTGTATTTTATTTTTCTTTTGTTTTCCTTGGATTATTTTTGTATTGAGATTCTCTTCAGTCAACATCATTGCCAAGTTTTACATTAAATTCACAACTGTAGAAAAATATTATTCTTAATGATGGATTTGTAAATTTGTATCCTGTCTCTGCAGTTCCTCATCTTGTGATCACATGTGGATCCTGTGAGAATAAATGTCTATTCATTATCTACAAATTAGGACAAGAAAGAGGGAGATATTCTTTGAGCATGGCTGTCGGAGAATCGTGCTTGTTGGGTCACATCTGTTAAAATGACCCAGAGCTGCAGTGATGGAGAGTCACAAGATGAGAGTATACGCACAGTCCAGTCAATGATGTTCTTTCATTATTGTTCTTTCTCCTCATGTCTTTACCTTCATGTATTTTTCTTTTTCATTCTTAGCATTCTTGGGTTTGTATTAGTGTTACAGTAACAATCTATGTATTGTTATTCTTAGAGGTGTCTTATCAAGGGAACCTCAGATTTTTTTATTTAGGTTTAAGTTAAATTAAATTAAAATTAAGTTAGATTAAAAAAAATTTAAAGTTAGAAATTTGATTGCAGTTAAATGTAATAACTTTGCAGTAGAATATGTAAAATATAATAAGTGATCATGTCTGGTTTGATATCAGATGGTGGGTTTTGATATTCTGTAATTCCCAGCATGAGGGCTTCTTTACCAGCAGTACTGTATAGTCATGCTACAATAAGTCAAGTCTTTTAGACAACTAATTAGTTTTATGATTAATTCCTGGGAACTGCATATTTGCCGACAAGGCTAGAGGATAACATTCCCTGTGTAAATAATTACAACATGTTAAAAAGTTAGTGATGGAAAACTACTTGCCTTTTGTCTTAATTGGCCAGTTTGAATAAAAAAGACATCACTATTTCTGTTTAATTTGGTGGAAATATATATATATATATAGATATAAATAATGGCACGCCATTCAGGAAATTATTAATTATATTGAATGAAATTCTGAATATATGGAATGAAACTTGAATATATTGAATGAAAGTCTAAATATATTGAATGAAACTTGAATATATGGAATAAAAGTTTGAATATATTGAATGAAACTTAAATATAGAGAATGACATTTTCAGTGTGGAATTAAAATGCAAATTTGACAGTACTTAATGAATAATAATATAGCTAGTTATATCCTTGTTACCAGAGCAGTAGCTTTCTAATTTGAATGACTTTCAATTCATTGCCTCAAATTTTCCAATACTTTGTTGAACTAGAGAATTTTGGCAATAGCTGGTCATATTCCAAACAATCAAACAGATTGGAGTGTACATACTGTCATCTTGATTTCCATCATCTCAGACATTTCACACAGTACCCATGTTAATTTTGACAGGAAATTTAGTTTTAGTTTTAGTCTTTTGATTAAAATGCCATATAGTTTTAGACATACAGTATTTTAGTCATTTGAATTGTTTAGTTTTAGTCTAGTTTTAGTCAACTAAACATAAGATTTTAGTCAACTAAATATACAGTAGATTTATTTGACTAAAATCTGATGAGTTTGGTTAAATTGTAATGCATTAAGCATTTAAGTATCACACAACTGTTACTTGAATACACGCCAAAACGGACATCTTGGCATAACTGTGTGTGTTTTTGACAATTTAAGTGCAAAAATACAGAAAGTAGAGCTCAATTCAGTACTTGTCAGGGCCTAACGCATACCTTTTTATGGTTCTAGTTAGCTATAATAACCCTGAAACTAGTAAAATCTATTTATTGAATAATATGTGAAATAATGTCCTTAGTCTTTCCTTCCTGTGACTGGAATCCCTGAAACAAGACATACACTGGAACTCTTATTTGCAGGCTCATTCAAGTTCAGATGAGGGAGATAAAATATGCATTCTTACAACTATCTAAAACAT